TTCAACATACGCCTGATTAGGCTGAGGATTTTCAAAACGAAAGTGCTGACGACAAGCCTCAGGAACGAGTTCATACGCATTTAACACGGCGGCTTTTACACATTCATAATTAGAACTGTCCATTAGAGAAAGAGCCGAAATAACCTGAAGGGCCTTACCTGTGAGCCTACACTGCAAGAGCAACGACCACACTTCACGAGGCCACCGGAGAGTTACCGCAATCCTCTCGAAAGCAGACAAAACCCCCTCCACTTCAGTCTCCCGGAAGGGCGGAAGAAGCGAAACACATTTGGAGATATCGAAGGCGGGCGGCAACGTTGTGGCAGCCAAAGGAGACGTGGCGTCTCGGGACAGTCCAGGCTGAGACGGAGACGATGCCGCTGGGTGATCAGCGGTGAGGGGGTAGCTCACGGAGGGAGTAGCTTGCACGGTGGCTAATTGTAGTTCGAGCTCCCGGAGGCGAACCTTTGTGTCCATTCATTTCAAGTCCAGCTCATGGCGTCGCTCATGAGCTCTCTCCTCCGCTGGATCTTCAGATGAGCTAAGCTTAGCTTAAGCCGGGCTTTAGTGAGCGGAGTACAGGGAGAACATGCTCCCGACGAGTCAGACTCCCGGGACAAATCTTCAAAGAAGGCAGAGCCGAGGCGAGGGTCTCCCTCTTCTGAACGAGCTGGCCCATTTTCTCGTCCGAGGGCGGCGGAGACGCACCATGAGGGGACGGCGAGGGTAGAAGTCTTTGGGTTTCCAAATAATCCACCAACAAATTTTGAAGAACGTGAGCTTCTTCGGAAGGGGGAGACTGAAATTAGCGGGAACCTGCCGCAGATCAGCTTTGCAGCAACTCTCCAGAAGCCGGTGCGAAGGAGCCGCCACAAATGTGTGCAGGTCGAAGGTTTCCATGCTCCGCCTCTAAGGGACACAAACACACAGTTAATATTTTTACACACACCTAATATGTCGGGAAAGATGGTAATATATAAATAAATCCCGGACGAGCCCCCAGATTATTATGTCCCCGGCTCTCTAGGAGAGATGAGGAGGGGAGTAATAAAATTAGTGTGTGGGTTAAATAATAATCAGATTATCACTTTTTATCAAACCTCGCACGGGCCGGACATTAAAGCACACAGCAGGAATAATCCATCTGCTTTGCTGAATCTTCCTCTGAATGTGCAAAACAACAGAATTACAGGCAAAATGCGTTGCTTCTTGCCACATACTACCATGATGCTATGCGGGAAACATAAACACTGACGTCATAAAAGATCCTCGTATAGGAACCTTGGATATCACTCACTGCCAAAGCAGTCGTGACTTTCTGACATCTAGGAAAGAGCTGATTTTGTATGGAGACACAAACGGCTCGAACTTTTGTTCAGGGAAACATTGCTCTGGAGAAGGGGAAGAGGAAACTCAAATGCATCTCCATGTAAATGTTGTTGTTCTAATTCAAAAATAAAAAGTTCCAAAAAAATAAGAACTTGTGCTCTAGATAATTATCTAATTATTGCACTGATTGAAATAATCAAGTAATAATAATGAAAAATCTATTTTGAAAGATCAAACTGTTTTTAAATCTTCTAATCTGATTCAAAAGTCAAACTAAAGCACCGGCATGCTGCCTTCACTCTGAGACATTAGCTCAGTCTGTTGTCCTTTATAGACGAATGAGCTCCATCACCTCACTGCACTCTCTTCCTCTATTCCTTTTGTGTTACTGGATAAGAGCAGGAATAGCAAAAACAACTGTCAATGTCTCTAACTGAGCCAGGAAATAAAAGTGAGAATTTCAGAGCTCTCAGGTTTGATGTAAAGGTCAGAGTGAGATTGTGTCTGCTGGGATTAGGGCTGGGATTATAGATGTTATTATAAACGTTATGGCCTCACTCTGTTCTCACTAATGTTTTTGGTGCAAAGAGAAATATGTCCAATTATTCATCCTCCCTAGGGTGGGGCAATATGGCAAAAATGTCCATATCCTGATATAACACTTTATAGTCTGAAAATGATATAACGATTAGGGCTGCACGATTATGACCAAAATAATAATCACGATTATTTTGATCAATATTGTAATCACGATTATTAATCACCATCATTCATCTTATCTGGTAAAATATGTATTTTTTGCACCAATTACAAACAATGTTGCAACGCTTTTCTGTGAAAAATGAAACTTTAGAATAGATTATAAATAATGCAAGATCCCTCCAAAAACTCCTATACTACATACTATACTTTTATATTTCAAAGTGCTAACTAAATATGTTTTTGCAGAGAGCAATCTCAAAGTGCAATTTAACGGAAAGAATTACAGTTTATACAGAAAATGCCTCCTGTGTATGTTTCATGGCCTCCTGCTACTTGTTGCTGATTTGTTTATGGAGCTGGTGGTGAGAGGTAGCTGACAGCCAGGTGTTCTTCTGGGGATAAATCTGGGTGTCGTGGGTTGATGGTACCTGGGTCTGACTGTTTACCAGGAGTCCAGAAGATGTGGAGCATCTCCAGCAGCGTCTCTGACGTTGCCTGTTGCTGGTGATGATGGATGGCTCTTCTTCAGAAGAATCTCTAAAAGTATAAATATATCAGATTTTATAAAACATATTCAAGCAGTAAATACTAGAAAATGAAAACTGTAAAAAAAAAAAGAAAATACTAAACTAAAGCTAGAAATATATTTGAACTGTAGATAAACTCACTGCAGCTGTGATGGAAAATCATCTTCGTCCACACCTGAATCCTCAACCACGGATGTACATGGAGGTTTTGTTTTCCTGGAAGTAGCAGTAGTAGCATATAATAGTGTATAATAGTATTAGCAGAAATACTAGACAGAAACTGGAATGTGTGTAGCTTGGAACAAATTTAGTGCAGATATACGTAGCCTACTCCATTTGTGATGGAAAGACCGATGTAGTGCACGTCTTGCTCCTCATCAACAAATCTTGAGGGAAGTTTCCTTTTTCTAGACGATTTCCTGATTTCTTCCATTATTTACAAAAACAAATCTAACATATAAAATAATAAAAAAAACTTCAGTGAAAAATGCAGCTGAAAAATAATTAACTACAGGTGATAAAACAAGTAAAAGAACAGTGAAGCGACGTCAAATATGACTAAGTCTATTATTAAATTACTATATACAAACATAAAATAATGTTTTTTACAGAAAATAATTATTATTTACACCAGTAGAAGAGATAACGTCCAAAACAATTTCACCGCTCTATTGTTTTAACTGCAGAGTGTTTATTTCCTGGTTCCCTGGCAGGGACTTGCGTAACTTTACCGTAATGAATTGTACACCACTGGAAGGCGCAGAGTCTCAGCTTTCAGAATCAGTTGGAATTATGTTGATTTGCGCAAATGGTCAAAGAGTTATGGCAGTTCAAAATATGGAAGCCATTTTGTGTTGCGCCGACACAACCGCAGTAGAAGGGTTATTGAAGCTTTAGCCATGCTTTCGCCCAAGCAGAATAGCTCGCGTTTGGAATGTAAATATTGCTGACAATCAGGTTAATTTATGGCCACCAAAATCTTGATCACAATCTAAATCCGATGACTTGTGCAGCAGTGATGACAATAAAGCATTATTTCTTTCATTCAATTCAAAGTTTGTATCTTAGATCGAGTGTTTGCACCATCTCACAAAACCTACGTATGTCGACCGTGCAGACTGGAACTATATCTTTGCAGATGTGCTTGGCAACTGCAGTAGAGATCTCCTTCCATCTGCTGGAGCTGTGGTTATATGTTGTTGAGATTGGCAAGACTCGTTAGTTATGATTTCAGATCTCCGATCACTGAAAAATATGAAAAAATTGGCCCGATTTGATCCAGGGATCGGGACTGGGACATCCCTAATGAAAATAGTCTCCTACACCTATCTCCTGCTTTAGCTTCTGATAGAAAACAGATGGTGAAACTCTAGGATCAGAAAATCCTGACAGATCTATGTCACACTGTCACTTAACATTCATGGAATCGCTCATCTTAGCTCACGACGGGGAAGATCGATGCTGGTTTAGCGTCCAGGAAACAGCAGAGAGTGTCTCGGCTAGTATAAGCTAACCATTAGCGTTAGCAACTACACCAAACAGCAGAACTCCTCTAGGCTTTTGTTATTTGTGGAGATAAAACATCAACTTTACAATTCAGAGTCAGTGGTAGAGTCACATTGCTGTTAGCCAATCAGAGGACAGATGTCCAAACATCAGGAAATAAGACTGTGTTCTGCCACTCTCTCCTCCATGCTGAAACAGGCGCACTGGAACTTTTTTTTCTCGAGGGTATGACTTAAAAGGCATTCATTCCTACTAGAGACCACTGTAAAATATGAATGAATGACCTCTTTAAATCACAACCATCTTTTCCTTATCAGCCAAACGTCACCTGTTCAGGAAGAATACAGATAATAAACCCATTAATGTGTTTAGATTTAAAAGTACCCTCATGGCTTTTGGAGCGGTGCATGCTCCACTAAACGCAGCCCATTCATTATGGGCTTTGTTATTTTTCTGTGCGAGGAATGCTGTGTCTCTGTTAAATCAGGAGAGTGTGTGTGACCTGTGCTCATTGCATTGGGCTTGAGAGCTCTGCGTTTTGCATCAGCTGCAGGTGACTGACAGAGACAGGAGTGTGTTCTGGTAATCCAGCCAAGAAGTGGTAAAACTATGGGCTTCGTTTGCAAGTTTGTATTGAGTGAGAATGAACTTAAGATGCGATAATCACCTTAAATTCAACATATGAGACTTTATCACCACACTGATGAGACGCTGGTCCACTTTTGCATCTAAATGTAAGATAATTGTATTTTAAATCGAGCTGGCGAGGAGAGATTAATGATAGGAGAAACAGCATGATGATTCCAGGCACAGCCTGAAATCCATTAACGGACCTCGAGCTGCAGCCGTGACATCAAGTGTCTGCAACCAGGAGAGGGACGTAACGGGTTGTACAGAAAACAGCTGTTATTGCTGAGGATGTTCTTGTTCCCACAGGTGGTGAAGATGATGATTGTTGTGGTGTGCACGTTCGCGCTCTGCTGGCTGCCCTACCATGTCTACTTCCTGCTGCACCAGTTTTTCCCTGAGATGTCTGAAGAAGCATTCATCCAGCAGGTCTACCTGGCCATCATGTGGTTGGCCATGAGCTCCACGATGTACAACCCCATCATCTACTGCTGCCTCAACGACAGGTGTGTCATCTCCGTCACACACCAAAGCACTCGGATCTGCCAGCGTCACAGAAATATTCATCCTTTATCCAGAGAGGATCCACTCATCTCTACCTGACAAGAAGGATTCCTCCTGTTAGACGTGATCTTGGAGGAGATATCAGTTAAAACACAAATCAACCAAGTTTTTGGTCTGAAATTCAGAGATTGTTTATCTCAAACTGATGTAGAAAAAGTGACCTTATAAAACTAGAAAATAAGCTAATGAAATTAGCAGCACGGTTTTTGTTCTGTCAGCCAAACTTTGAGCTTTTTCTGCTTTAGAGTTCAGCAGAAATCTAGACTTTCTGTCTCCTATTCCTTCGCCCAGTCGTTTATTTACTTTCAGCAAAGGCGACAGACCATTTAACTTGCTTTCCCTCATAAATGCAGCCACACACTCTGGTTTTCTCATCGCAAAAGAAAAGCAGACATGCTGCTGCTTTCAGTGACAGCAGTTGTAAACTCAGTCACGACAGCGGAGGCTGTGTTTGCTCTCTTTGAGGTTACTTGTCAGGAAAATGTCAGAAGGTTTCCACAGGTGGAGTCTAGCCAAGGTAAACTTTAACTTTTTAAAAGGTTTGTGACTGATGTGTATGATTGCATAGTTCCACCTCCTCCCTATTATCAAGCTTCATTTTATTAGTAGTATTCTCTTCAACTGTGTGTGTGTGTGTGTGTGTGCGTGCGTGCGTGCGTGCGTGCGTGCGTGCGTGTATGTGTGTGTGTGTGTGTGTGTGTAGATCTGTATCTGACTGTTTCCTTACATTGGATATCAATGTGGCCACGATCTTAACACACAACCAGCTGGCCAAAACACGTTCCTCCAGTCGCCAGACCACTCCATCTAGTTCTGAGCTATGACAGGAATACTAGGCAGTTTACCCCCTGGTGTCAGTTTGTAGAAGCAAATCCAAACCCTATCTCCTCGCTGTGCATTTGTCTTTTTAACACCTTAGTCTAACAGCTGAAACGTCTCTCAGCATTCCTACATGTCTGTGAGAGTAATTCATCACTAAATTAAACAAATCAGATGTGTTCATGATCTTAAATATGCAGGAAACATGCTGATGCCAGACAGTAGCACCAGGTAAGTCCCAACAGACCAGACCGGCAACTGTGACGTTGCAAGTGCAGTATTCTGGCCACAGGGGCGATAGGGGCTGAATGGCCTTTCATTAAGCCTGTAAAGGGTCGTTTTAGCACAGACTGGCTCAAGAAAATGCTTAAAAAATATGAAAAAGTTGCAAAGTATTCTTTTAATGGCTCAACAGATGTCCCTAATGACAGTGGTACCCAGTCTTGTCAGGACCGTCATTCTGCATGCTTCAGAGTTTTCTCTACTCCAACACACCTGATTTGAATCAACAGATAATTAACGGGCCTCCACAGAACCTAAAGACTGTTTAGACATTTAGAGTTTTGAGTCCTTCTGTCTTCCACCTCCTGCAGTGGATCGAGGGGGGCATCCTAGGACAGAGATGGCCCTCCTGTTGGCTGGTATGAGGATAATCACAAGAGACCTGAAGAGTTCTGTGAATGACAGGATATCTCCTCTCTGGTTAGAAGTTGCAGGAGAAAACAGTTCTTATGCACCAGACTGCAGTTCAAATTACCCAGCCTTGTTTAAGCCTCTGGTTGGTGTCTTTGGAGTGGCACCCTCTGGGGTTTCCATCGTTCCTTTTAATGGCAATGCAGACTTTACCTGGAGAATGTGGTTATGAGGAATAGCCTCCCTGATTTTATTCTGATTCAGTGGTAGATGTAGAAGAGTACGCATGGAGGGCAAAGAAGGTGCAAAGCAGAGCCCTGCAACGGCATTGGGATCCCACGGGAGCGGAGGGTATTGAGATTGCATTGGGTGGGATGGGGATGTTTGGTTATTGAAGGAGGAAGACTCTGAGAACTCAGGGGAAGGCATGGCGCATTGAAAGATAGAGCTTGTCCCAAGGTCTTTATATGTTTCCACAATGTCATGTTTGCTATGGGAAGCTCAGAGTTTCTTATCTGCTTTTGATAATGTTGAAGTCTTCGGTGCAACGACCTTCAGCGTGCTCTGGGGTGGCTGCAGCAGAGTTTAAAGGCCAGGATGAAACTTCACTCCTCTAAGTTTGAAGCCATGGTTCTCTACCAGAAGTAAACGTGGAATGATCCCTCTGGGAGCAAGTGGAGGAGTTAAACTATCTTTGTTTATGAGTGGTGCAGAGTAGAGAGAGAGATGAGGGGTTCATAATGAGAACAGTCCTCTGGTTTGTTGTAATTAAGGAGATGGGCTGAGAGATGAGGCTCTCGGTGTGCTGTTTCACCTCTGGTAATGAGATCTGGGTCCTGAAAGAACAAGCTGGAAGAGAAGCGGTTGAGATGAGCTTCTCCTTATGATTAGGGTGAGAAGCTCCATGGTAAATGGCCTGTGTTTGATACGGCACCTTCTAGAGTCCTAGAACCCCTCAAGGTGCTGTACAACACAATCAGTCAAACACACACACACACCGCGGTGGTGCCCTGGGGCACACTGACAGAAGTGAGGCTGCCGACCTCTGACCATCATCAGCAGGCAAGGTGGGTTAAGCCCTTTGCCCAAGGACACAACAGCAGAGACAGACTGAGCAGGGCTCAAACCTGCGACCTTTTGACAGTGAGGCTGACACTTAACTCCTCCACCACCATCACCCTGTTGTGGAGCTATTGCTCTGATTGAAAAGAGTCAGATAAGGTCCAGTTCACATTGCTGGATTACAAAAATGCCAGATTACTTTCAAACACGAAAAAATACTAATCCAACACATTTGTAAGTTTGGATTCACGATCAGAGCAGTCTCAACATTCTTTCAAGCAGACCAGAGCTCGTGTAACACACCACACACAGCAGGAATGTCTGATAAGATTATCTCTAGAACCATTTAGGCATGTCCTTAAGATTATCAGGAGAGAATCAGGTCAAATATCCACATGATTGTCTTGCGGTGTGAACTGGGCCTAAGGGGTTACGAGCATTGATCAGCAGTGTTGGGAGTAATGCGGTACAAAAGTAATTAACTACTGTAATGCATTGCTTTTTGCTGTAATGTGGTAATGTAAGGCATTACAGGGAAAGAAAATGGTAATATTTACTCGGTACAATTGTCAGTAACGTGGTAATTACATCACAATTTTAAACCCAGAATCAAGATGCGGGTTTCTTAAAAATTCAAATTGCGGGAAACCTGAAAAAAGGTATCCACATTACGTCATTTAAGGACTCAGCTTTGAGGGCATTCTATGAGCAGAGCGGACGCAGCGGTAATGGCTCAAATACTCCTGCTGCGTCCTGCGCACAGCCGCTGTTATACTCACAAAACCGCTCCATCAAAACAAAGTAATTCGTTTGCGATCGTTTATATCCGCCCATATTCTCTTGTACTTCATGTACTTTTCAGCTGAGTTCATAATCTGTGCGCCGGTGATTTCAACTCATTGCTGCAGGAGCGCAGCGCGAAGCTTATTTATTTATTTATTTATTTATTTATTTATTTATTTATTTATTTATTGCGTTCGGTAGATCCCTTTGGCTGATTAGTTAGAAAGTAGGAAATCTAGGAAACAGTTTTTCTGGAAGACGGAGAAAACATGCAGCATGCAGGAAGGTTAGAGAGAGAAAGGGCAGGAAATTATTCAAATAAAATCAAGAAAACAAAACAAAATGCTTGAAAAGAAAAAAGTAGGTAGATTTATCCCCAACACACATTTTTACCAGTGAAAAGCAATAATATACATAAGCATTTAATATTTATACATGTGATAGAATCAGATTACCCCAGAAGTCAGTCCCACATCCAGGGCCGTATCAAGGCATTTGGGGACCAAGGCAAATATAGGCTTGGAGCCCCCACCACCTCACTCCCTGCTCAGATAATATAAGATGGCAGCGTGCTGAGAGTACAGATTGTTGTTGCTTTAATTTAATAAACAATCATTTTAAAGCACTGTTATTATATCTGACTGTTTTAAACAGCAATCCTAGCTCAGACACTACATCACCTTCCACATATATGTCATGAGCTCACTGAGCATCAGATTACCAGATTCATATTGAAGTTGTTTTGGTGAAAGTTACTTCAAGTAATGCAAAAGTAGTGTAATGCCTTACATTTAAAAATCAGTAATATTTTAATGTAATTAATTACTTTAAAATGAGGGTAACAAGTAATAAATAATGCATTACAGTTTTGCAGTAACTTGCCCAACACTGTTGATCAGACGGCCTCCTGGTTTCCTCTCTCAGGTGGTTTTTCAGACACATCCCACTGGCCTGGGAAAACCTTAGGATCTCTCTGTGAGGAGCTGAAGGGTGTTACTTGGTAGATCTGCTTTCCTTCATGTCCATTGTTTGACCTGAGATACGTGGAGTAAACGGTGGGATTGAAGGACTGATAAAAACGCGACTGTGGTTCACTAACACTGTCACAAGCTAACATCTTTAGCCTTGAATCAAATTAAATCAGCTTCTTCTTCAATACTCTGTCTACCTGCCTAAGGGCTCAGTTTAGATTGCTCCTGTATAACGGAAATCAAATCCAAGTAACATTAAATTCACCAAAATCAACATTCTCACTGGAATTTCTGTTTGTCAGCCAATTTCCAGAAGAAGCCACCTCCATGCAGAGCAGCAGTGCTGCCCACTGAGCTGTCCAGGTTTTGTTCTGTCGTAGTGTTTCCACCTCTGTTAACAAAATGTACCCTTTAAAGCAGGGGGATTGGATTCCAGGCCTGGTCAGTGTTCAGCATGTTTTAGTGGTTTATCTGCCCTGACACACTTGACTCAGTGGGTGACTCACCTGTGCAGCAGCTCATCGGGCTCTGCAGAACCCTGTTAATCACCTGCTGATTGAAATCAGGTGTGTTGAAGCAGAGTTCAAACCAAAACGGGCTGGACACAGGCCCTTCGGGCCTGCAGTTGAATGCCACCACTTTAACCCTTTCATGCACAATGAGGTGGACATGTAATAAAGAATTTGTCAATAAATGTTAAAACAAGTTAAAAAGAAGTTTGTTTCATTCATACTTAAAGGTGAAACAATGAAACAATAGTTAAAAAACATGGTTGAAGATTAAATAATTCATGCATGAAAGGGTTAAACGAGTGGAACTGAGCAGATGTTGTAAATGATGGTTTGATTCAGACCTCCATTTGGTAGAGTGAAACGAGTGATTTGATTTTCAGACTGATGAAAGGACAAGCTGCTGTTTCATCTGAACCAAGCTTGTCTTATTTTTGTCCCCACAGGTTTCGTGCCGGTTTCAGACAAGCGTTCCGCTGCTGCCCCTGCGTCACACAGACTGCTTACGAAGGCCTGGAGCTCAAGTCCACCCGCTACTTTCAGACCCAAACCAGTGTTTATAAGGGCAGTCGAATGGAGACGACTGTATCCACTGTGCTTCACGCTGGGGAAGACGCAGAGCAGCCTAAAGTCAAGGTTACTGGAGGTCACGGGCCTGCTGGGGCTGCATTTGGGGGGAAACCACATCGTTCATCCCTGGACCTAACTTCAAACGGGTCATCAATCAGGAGTGTTTCCAAAACGGTGTCAGAGGCATCGAGCTTCTTCTCCAGTAACAACCTGCAGGAATAGGTGTGACGTGCAGGCTGCATTGGTTGTTGCGTAAGAATCAGGTTTTATTTTCCTGCGTGGGTTCGTAGTTCAGAGTGAGTGTTTGCCTATTTACCCAACACCCCACTAGAGAGTACTTGTGATACCATATTATATACGTGTTTATCAAACATTAGGGAGATTTTATCATGAAGCAACAAAAGGGTACATCTGCCACATGAAAATCATGCGTATTACAGACCAGGCTTCAGCAGATGTTAGCTTTTCCCGTTCTCACAGCTTCTGATCATCTCTGCAGCAGAAAGCGAGGTTCACACATTCTCAGTCACACATGCTGTGTGACTGACTCCACACTATCTATTTTGGATTGAAGCCACAGTAAAAGCACAAGACAGAGGATAATGCGAACACAGCAGCATCTCGTTCTGACAGGCAGGTCTCTGGAAATCGGAGGCATTCCCCCCACATCTAGAAGAGGAAAAAATGGGTTTCCAGTCAGGTTTGTGTTATGATCAAAGAGGCTCTAACATATGAGGAGCTGAAGACGGCGAGCAGCGCCTTTGTGCAAGTGCACACTGATCAGAATACCAACTCCTATCTCTCCGAGCAGGACCGCAGCCGCGAGCTAGCATGAAGAAATCATGCCTGTCTGACTGAACGAGTGCTCTAAAGTTCCCCTATGGACTTTGCTGAGAACTTCTGGCAATCAGCAAAAACACCCACAGCAGCTGTCTCATCTTTCGTCTGGCAGAGCTTTGACTTCAGCAGCTGGCAGCGTCTTTTCTGAAGACAGAAGCTTTTCTAATGCAAAGAATGAAACGCCTGGCATCCCAAACGGGACGAAAAGGGACCGTGTGACTCAAGAGCTGGTGGATTTGAGTATGACTGGTGATGTTTGAGAACCACATGACACAGTGGCATGTGACATGAACTTCTAACTATGAAGCTAGTTTCTCCTTAGCGCCTCAGTGAATGAATCCAATTGTTTTACATGTCATGTAATCGATGTGCTCTGAGCTTCAGCTGCTTGTTGTTAAGTTGACCACTACTCTGCTCATGCTGTGGATGACTGGTTCTCTAAAAGCTCCTTCTGTCCCACTGTAACCCAGCTAAGATCGCTTCACACGTCTAGATTATCCTGGTTCTGCAACCCCCAAGGCATTTCACAACACATCCATTCACGCTCACCCATTCACACCGGTGGTGATGAGCTACAGTGTAGCCACAGAAGAAGAAGATATCATTTCTATAGCGCCTCTCAAGATAAAAATCACGAGGCGCTTCACAAAAACAAAAAATTTAAAAAGATAAAGAAGAATTTAGAAAATGGTTAAAATATATTTAAAACGAGAAAAAATAGACAATTGTGATTAAAAATGTTAAGAAAGAGAGAGAGTTAATAGTGTCTTCAGAAAAGACAGCTGCCCTGGGGCACGCTGACGGGTTAAGTGTCTTTCCTAAAGACATAAATACTGCGGCAGGCTGAGCGGGACTCGATCCTGTAACCCTCTGGTTATGAGACGAGCGCTAAACTCCTGCCTCCGTCGTCCCCGCCTTTCATCGTCTAATGAAATGTAGTCATTTGCTCCAGTTGTGTTTGTGGAAAATATTTAAATCTAGCATTTTTTATCTTTTTTATTTCTTTATAAATGATCAGTTGAATAAACTAGATCCAAAATGTTTTACACATATCCTGCAGTGAGCTTAAACGTTAAATCCATTAGATTTACATATTTTTAGGGTTCTGAACAAACAAAAGCTCAGTTAGACCCAAACAGCAGAACTGTCATTAATCAGCCATTAGTCGGCACAACACCAGGAAGAGAGCAACTCCAAACACCCGAGGGGCCTGGCTGAAGCATGTTTTACACACACACACACACACACACACACACACACACACACACACACACGTGCACCCACGCGCACACACACACATACACACACGCACGTGCACCCACGCACACACACACATACACACACACACCCACGCACACACACACATACACACACACACCCACACACACACACATATACACACACACATACACACACCCACACATACACACACCCACACACACACACATATACACACACACATACACACACCCACGCACACACACACACATACACACACGCGCGCGCACACACACACACATACACACATACACACATACACACACACACACACACACACACACACACACACACACACACACACACACACAATGATCAAGTAGTTCAGAGAGTACATCGAGCCCTGACGTGAGAATACAGGAGTTCACCGTTGGAGATAGCAGAATACACACAGCACCCGTTAGTAACATGGTTTTCATTTACATTTATTTTTAGAAACAAGGTACAAATGTAATCAGATTACCATAGTCTTTCTTAGAGTCTTAAGTTCTGAAAAGAAAAAGTTTCCACATAATGCCGATGCAGTCACAGGCCAGTGAACAGTCGGGGTTAGATTCCAGAAAAAACACAACATGTTAACATAAGGACAATTTTACTTTAAAGAGTAAGTCACCCCCTTACCAGAGTCTACTCTACCCACATTTACTGTTTAAAAAAGCATCAGAAGGAGGCTACGCCTGGTGGACCGGGAGGGCGGAGCTACGGCAGTGAGTTGCACAGATTGCTCTACCTCACCACCCAACACGCTTGCTTACTCTCCAATCAAAACAAACACGCTCCCACATAAATACACCCCGCTCTGATGGAGCCACTAGCAAACACACGCATGCACAAATACACATCCGCCCACTTAGATGAAGCATCCATCCTTTTTCATCCACTCATCTGGAGTCGGGTCGCGGGGGCAGTAGCCTAAGTTGAGGCCCAGACTTCCCTCTCCTCAGCCACTTGGGCCAACTCCTCCGGGGAATCCCAAGGCGTTCCCTGGCCAGGTGAGAGACATAGTCCCTCCACCGTGTCCTGGGTCTACCTTTAGGCCTCCTCCCGGTTGGACGTGGCAGGATAACCTCACCAGGAAGGCGTCCAGGACGCATCCTGACCAGATGCCTGAGCCTTAGATGAAGCTGATGGAAAAGCACACACACACACTTGCAAACACACTTTTTGCTTAGATTGAGAAAAGGCAGCCTTTCCTAGTTCCTGATAGTGACTCTAGCTCCTTTGCCTCAGAACAGTCATTTGAGGTGGTTGTCCCCACCTCCTTCATCACAGGACAGAAGAAACTGAGAAATATATTTTTGGCAGAGAGCGGTGCTGAGCCATGTCGGCACTAGAGTGATCAAGACAGTAGGGGGCATGGCCGAGACTGGGTTGCAGTGCAGTGCCGCCATGTCAGATGTAGTGGCTAATGTCAAAAATCACATCTTAACCAATAGCATAGGCCAGCGGTACTCAATAGGCGGCCCGCGGGCCCCCTCTTTGTGGCCCCAGAACGTGCACATTTATTTATAAACCACTAGTTTGCGTGCCGGTGCACATGCACGGATTATATGAGGGGGCATGGCATTGTAAAAAGTGTGATCGGTTACCCAAGTCCCTTTTCAGCATGGCATGTAAGCAGTCTTCAGGAAAAAAAAAACGATAAAAGCAGCCGTCTCTCCCAAGGATCGTCTGAGACAGGGCTGGGACAACTGCGCTGGACTCGGACGAACACACACACACACACACACACACACACACACACACACACACGCAGACACACACACACACACAGTGGGCTGTACTCACTGAGTTTCTGCAGTTCTTCAGCACAGCAGGGACATTTTCAATTGCAAATAGCACACAAAACCACTGAGAATCCCGCTGCAGCACAGCGAATGTTTTAAAAAGGTAATCCAAGAAAGTTCCCCATTGCATATGGCCTCTTCTGCCTTGATTTTCTCGTTTTGTGCTTCGAACATTGGCGCTAAACTAAAGGCTTGTTAGCTATAAAGGTAGCTTAACAATTGAGTTGCAGGATCCTAGCAAACAGTTACCAGAATGCGTCCTTTCAAAATAAGACAGTTTCAAGTTAAGCTCTGCCACTAATGACAGCTATCCTCGTTTGAATGCGGTGAAACGACCAGCTGCGCCTCCGCGCTGGGAACCTGTTTCCGGCTTCAAAGACGACCACGTAAGCAACAGAGCTAACAGCCCAGACGAAGCCCTCCGAGGCCGGTGGCATCGGGGCTGCAAGGCAGTGGAGTCCCAGGAACGTGCTAACGCTACAGCTCCACTGGACCAGCTGGACAGAACATCATCATCATGGCAATGTTTCCAGCTTCAGAGACAACCACATTTCTTTTAATTATATAGACTTGGGTAAGGGCTTCTGGTCTACGCGGAAGCTATGGCCACGGAAACCAGAACACATCAGTTTCACTGTAAATGAGGGGTAATCCAGCCAACATGATGCAATTTCACTTCATCTCATGAAATCAAGGTAAATCTGTTCTTAGATTAGATTCACTGACCCTTAATTAACCTGCATAGTAAAGATAACACACGTGGCCTGTTACTTTTGGCCACTTGGACACAAAAACTAACCTTAATGAGGTGATACTCCCTCGTAGAAAAATCTGCAGAATTTCATCTACCTCATAGCAGCTTTTTAAATTTACAATCAAATATTTTTAATACTACTTTTCCATGTTAGATGCTCAAAAATCACATTCTGATGCCTTGTAAGTCACTTGAATGTCTTGTTAAACAGCTGACTGATGCATCTCACAGGAAAACGACTGCTCTGCGACACAAACGCCCGCTTACATCCAGCTGGATTGGCACAGATTAAAGCTTGGTTTATGCTTGACGCATTCACTTTCCGCGTGGTGATGCGGCTCGCTGATGGAACACGCTTCACAACTCGCAGTGTTTATGGTTCGTGCGGCTCGTCTCTGCGGTGAGCCAATATTCTCCCAGACTGAACGGGGCAGCATGGAGCTCTACGGCATGCATCCAACACTACACCATAGTAGAAGTAGAAATTACTGTTTACAACACGGCATTCCAGCATTTTTAACAGCGTCCTCGTCTTTTCCGACAGTGTGAGCTATTTCTCTCCAAGAATTATTAACAACACGTTGATCACGGCGATCTCTGAGAGCTGAATCATACAAATGTCTGTATTTACGAACCTCTGCCAAACTAGTTCTTGTCGGTCCGCCATGTTTTTCCGCGTCCGTCCGTCCGCGTGGTTAGAAATTTTCCGAGGTGCGCGTTGCGGAAATTCTGGGCCGTGCGGAGGCGCGGTGGAGGTGCGTGGTTGTTAAAATGACGCAAAATGACGCAACTTTTCCACGCGGAGCCGTGCTAACCTCGCGGACGCGTCAAGCATAAACCAACCTTTAGAATCCCTTAACAGTCGTATCGCTGCTACGCTTAGGTTCTCATCAAACACCCCGGTGACATTCTCCTGCCCTGTGCCATGGATGCATGGCTTCTCCACACAGGGTGCCAGTATGCCACCAGCCCTGACTATAAACCTCTTTGGCCTCCCTTCAAAGATATTACTAAGACCCATTTTTCATGCTTTATCATGAATAATGAGGAGTCCACTGCTTGGTCATGTCAGACTGGAGACCTGACCAAGACGTCCAAAGACAAGCCACGATCAGGATGATTGTTCCCATCAAAACAAGCTGTTATCCAGCGTCAGGTGGACTCACACATCTGTTCCTGAGTAAAAAGAAAAGAATTCTTCATTTCTAAAGCAGATTCAAGTCTGGCTTTGCTAATTTATTGAGGCTTCTGTAATATGCAGAAACAGCAGATGTCTTTGCAGAAGTGTTTTCTAGAAGCCCACTTGTTTTCATACAATATTGCATAGCGTGTACGATATATGCACTCAAGTGTCGGAGTGCACTCCAGCTGAGCGTAATAAGGCAGCAGCAATCAAACCTCAACATTTGGAAGCTTCTTTTGCCCAGGAGAGGTGCACCGACGTGTGGTGGGGATGTGCTTTGACTATGTTTAGCTGACGACATCCTTGCCTGATGAAGCATTAACAGCTCTTTCACATAAGCTCTGACCACTAAGAAAAAATACTTTTAACTGTTAAACACTAAAGCTTGATGCTTAGGTCATTCATGGGGAACCCATAATTAAAACTCAGCTGTTTATGCCAGAGATGAGAATGCCAACTTTGTCGTGTTGTATTTGTACGTCTATTAACCTGAAAACTGAATTAAGATGCAACAGTGGAAAACTAAATGCTCTTTAGTCAAGTCAACTTTATTTATATAGCACCTTACAGACGCATGAAAGCTGCCCAAAGTGCTTAACAAGCCAAAACAAAAACAGCAATTTCCTGTAAGGCTGAAAATTAGTTAAAGGTTCATTATAAAAGAAATAAAAACATGACATAAAAACAAATAAACAAATAATTCAAACTGACTTAAAAGTGACTAAAAAACAGATGCAGTCTCACACTGAATTAAAGACAACTGAGAAGAGACGAGTCCTTAGAAGCGATTTGAAACCCGACAGTGAGGAAGCCATCCTAATCCAACAGGCAGTGCATTCTTAAAAGGTAGGGCTGCTACTGAGAAAACTCTGTCACCCCTGAGCTTTTGCTTGGTTCTCGCCACCTCCAGGGCAAGCTGGTCAGCGGACCTCAGTGACCGAAACGGGGAGTGAGCAACTAAAAGCTTACACCGATACTGCACACAGTCATCTGCTGTCTCTCTAATTATAATCACATTTGTTTCTATGAACTCAGCAATGCATATTTTTAGACACCAACACATTTAACCTGAGCTCCTGCAGGCCTTGTCCACGCAGAACAGCGGCTAAGCCTGTCGTGGCTAAGTCAGGTTTGTACGTGGTGCAGCAACGGCCACAGAAATGCACCAGAAACAGCTAACTAGGCACACTGCGCGTGATTTTCTGCACTCTGGGGAAACCCAAGCAGAGGAAAGTGGTAGGGCTATCATCAGTTTCTTCTTTGTTGTATTTTTTGGAAAAACAAGAATTTTTCTAGCCTAGAAATCTAGACACAGCAGCCACGCTCCACTGGAGCCTCAGCAGGTCTACCATTGGCCTGAGCAGTTTTATTTTACGCCAGTCACAGCGCTCCATCGGTTTGGTGGCAGCAGCTTGTTTGAAATGGCTCTGGCATCAACTTTGGACTATTTAGACTTTGGCTTTTCTTTGAGTCAAGAGCGGGTATGGGTACTTGAGTCATTTATTTGGAAAAGGGATGTATTAGTGCCTTC